TCAGTTTTTCCGCAGTATGGTAGAGAATCTGAGACACAGAATGACTTCCACAACCTCCTCTCATGTCAGCACAAGAGAAATCCCATTACATGGCCGGGAGGCCCGGGACAATCAGCTAATCCAGGACATGAAAGTTATCCATCCTGGAAGTTGGCCTGAAGAGGAGTTAGACGTACAGTATGGGGACGTAGAGGTGCTACGTTTGTGCGAAGTGCTGAAAGTGGACAGAAGAGAGACTGTCAGGGCTTTCGCGAATACAAGGAAACCAGGGCATCCCGTACACCTGCTGCCATGGAGCCTCTACTGAAAGCAGTCCGAACCATCGCTGTCTCCACTAGTGAGTGTGAGCGGGCATTCAGCTGCATGAACGATATCCTTACTGCAAAAAGGAATGCTCTCTCTGTCAGCCGACTGTCCAGCCTGGTTTTCATTAAATGTAATGGACCATCACTAGGACAGTTCAATCCGGAACAGTATGTGAGATCCTGGCTGGCAAAGGGAAGGAGAAGTGCTGATGAAAGAGCCTGTCCAGCTCCAGCCCCTGATACTGATGTCCCCAAGGCCTTCTGGAGCCTTTTCTAAGAATGTGAAGTATATTGCAAAGCAGCTCACCCAGTGAGAAGACTTTTGGCATAATGTGCCGATTTGTACAGATCCTGGAGATAGAAGGACTTCAGACCAACCAGGGAGTTATCTGATCAGCTTGGTGTTCAATGTAACTCTTTACCATGGCTCAGACTTTGTTACTTGCAGTTACAGTTTCTCATTTTAGATTGTGCAAATTTTGCATTTGTTTTTACATGTTCTTTGTTCATGCTCTTTATCATTTTTCTGAGTTGGAAAGTTAGATTGCATCATAGTTTACTATATACATATTTGTATTCTTCAGTGGTGAAGTATTGCAAAGCAGCTCAGCCATGTGAGAAGACTTTTGGCACTTTTTCGTTTTTCGTTTTCTGAGTTGGAAAGTTAGATTGCATTCAAAATGTACATAAATACTTAATTTTGTTAAAGCTTTTTATAAAAAATGCTTCTGACCAGAGCTTTGTTTCCTTGTCATTAATGTTGAACACCACCAGAGGGGCTCTCACCTGAAAGGTCTCTGCTTCATGTGTCTTCAGCAGAAGATCTAGACTTTGATTGCTATATTTTCAGTTAATATTGACCTTACTGAGCTTTAGCCATATCCGCTGCCTATCATAAAAAATGTTAAGTACAGTGAACCTTTCTAAAATATACAGTAGTAAAGAGACAAACCCACCAGCATTATAGTAGCTAAATTCTTGTTTGTGGGCTGTATATATAAAATTGACTTGAAAAAGTTGCTGATTTTAGAGTACTGGCACCTTTTTCATTCCAATTCAAGCACTGCCGATCACTTCTTCATTTAATTCTCTCTACCCACCCTTTCCAAACATAACAAACTAATCTCTTCTCATCCTGCACTTGTCCGCCGTAACCTTCGCTCCCTCTCCCCCTCTACCTTTGCCTCATCGGTGCTCTCAGCCCTCCCTTCCTCTGACTCGTTCCAACTCCTGCCTCCAAACTCTGTTGCAGAAACTCTCCTCTCTACTCTCTCATCCACTCTGGACTCTCTCTGTCCTCTCACATCTCGGCAGGCTCGTCAGTCCCCTCCTGCTCCCTGGCTAAATGATGCACTGCGTGCTAATAGAACCGTCCTTAGGGCAGCAGAGCGGAAATGGTGGAAATCCAAACACCGTGAAGACCTCCTAACCTATCAGGCTCTCCTCTCCTCTTTCTCTGCTTCGATCTCTCAGGCAAAAAGCACTTTCTTTCAAGATAAGATCCAATCTTCCTATTCCAATCCTAAAAAACTATTTTTCATCTTCTCCACCCTCTTGGACCCTCCAAAAGCCCCTCCCCCCTCCTCACTTCTGTCAAGCGACTTTGTTACCCACTTTGAAAAAAAGGTTGATGATATTCGCTCTTCTTTTTCAGACTCACCTTTACTCACCGCTGGGTCACCAGACCCTCCTTCCACCAACACACTAACCTCCTTTTCCCCTCTCTCTCCAAGTGAGGTTCTTACCCTCATTACCTCTGCCCGCCCTACCACCTGTCCTCTGGACCCTATCCCTTCAAACCTCCTTCAGACTATCGCTCCTGATATTCTATCTACCGTTTCTCACCCATTTCATCAACACTTCTCTAACTTCTGGTCACTTTCCAAACAGTCTCAAGGAGGCAAGAGTAAACCCTCTCCTAAAGAAACCCACTCTCAACCCGTCTGATGTTATAAACTACAGGCCTGTCTCTCTCCTCCCGTTCCTGTCTAAATCACTTGAACGCGCTGTCTTTAAACAACTCTCCTGTTATCTCAATCAGAACAACCTTCTGGATCCGCACCAGTCTGGTTTCAAGGCAGGTCACTCCACAGAAACTGCTCTCATTGCTGTCACGGAGGAACTGCACACTGCCAAAACTGCATCCCTCTCCTCTGTCATCATCCTGTTGGACCTGTCTGCTGCATTCGACACGGTGAATCATCAGATCCTCCTTCGCACTCTCCAAAAACTTGGAGTTTCAGGCTCTGCACTTTCCCTCCTCACCTCATACCTGAAAGACCGTACCTACAGGGTGACTTGGAGAGGGTCTGAGTCCGACCCTTGTCAAGTAACTACAGGGGTCCCTCAGGGCTCTGTTCTTGGTCCCCTCCTCTTCTCCCTGTACACAAACTCGCTCGGATCAGTCATTAGCCCGCATGGCTTTTCTTACCACTGCTACGTTGACGACACCCAATTAATTCTGTCCTTTCCCCGCTCAGAGACCCAGGTCGTCGCACGCATCTCTGCTTGTCTAGCTGACATCTCTCAGTGGATGCCTGCTCATCACCTCAAGCTCAACCTTGACAAGACTGAGCTGCTGTTCCTTCCGGGAAAAGATTGTCCCACTCTTGACCTAACAATCAACATCGGCACCTCAGTTGTTTCCCCGACTCAGACTGCAAGGAATCTGGGTGTGACCCTAGATAACAATCTGTCCTTCAATGCAAACATCGCTGCTACAACCCGTTGCTGCAGATACACGCTTTACAACATCAGGAAGATACGTCCCCAGCTGACACAGAAAGCGACTCAGGTTCTGGTCCAGAATCTCGTCATCTCACGCCTAGACTACTGCAACTCCCTCCTGGCTGGTCTACCTGCATGTGCCATCCGACCTCTGCAGCTCATCCAGAATGCAGCGGCTCGTCTGGTCTTCAACCTTCCTAAATTTTCCCACACCACTCTGCTCCTCCGCTCCCTTCACTGGCTTCCGGTAACTGCTAGAATCCACTTCAAGACACTGGTACTTGCTTACCATGCTGCGAATGGATCTGGCCCTTCCTACATCCAGGACATGGTTAAACCGTACACCCCAGCGCGTGCACTACGCTCTGCATCAGCCAAACGAGTCACTGCACCCTCGCTGCGAGGGGGACCCAAGTTCCCATCGGCGAAAACACGTGGGTTTGCTGTCCTGGCTCCAAGATGGTGGAATGAGCTCCCCATTGACATCAGGACGGCAGATAGCTTGCACATCTTCCGGCGCAAACTGAAAACTCATCTCTTTCGACTCCACTTCGAGCGATAGAACTATTAACGAAGCACTTTTATACTAACAAAGGACTGGCTTATCTAAAGCCAGTTGAGTAGCACTTGAAATGTTTGGCTCTATGAAACCTGATGTACTTATATGATTCTGTTTTCTTCAAGTTTGTATTTTGTTGGTCGAACGCACTTATTGTAAGTCGCTTTGGATAAAAGCGTCAGCTAAATGCAATGTAATGTAATGTTATGAGCGTGCATTTAGTTTGCAAGTGCACATCCATATTCATAAACAGCTTGGGGTGATATCTCTCCCTCAGCCTACACCTTTCAAGGAAAGACGGGTTACACAACAGACAGCTGAAACTGAAGCGAAAGTTAATCCTGTCATGGGGCTGGGATGAGTTTCGATTCGTTTTGGTGAGTTGGCGTTATTATATTACGTTGCTCCCTTAAAATAAGCACCACCAGAACTAGGAAGCATGCAAGGCAGAGTCCTGCACGGGTCTGATTTTCAAGACCCGCTCCCGCCCCGCTCCCGCAACGTGCAATACCGAACCAGCCCCGCTATACCCGCACATATTGCCAGTTAGTTCCGCAAACCGACCCGACCCGTCGGCACAAGATCCGCAACCCGACCCGAACCCGCATATATAAGCATTGAAAACGTGCAATTATTAACACATGCAGTTGCATATCTGGTTATTTTCTCCATATTCTAGGATGACACCAAAAGCCAGACGTTGGATTTCGCTCTTGAGGAAGTGTTATTGAAAATGCTGTATAGAGAGCTTCACCTCAGCCATTTCAAATGTGGCGCGCTCAGCAGCAGATTGATGCGCTGCAGAGGTTATGATTATGCGCGGTCCCGCGGGGGAGAGGTCTGAGGATTTAAACATTAAACTAAATTATTATAATTTTAATATATTTATTATGCAACACCCGCGACCCGACCCGCATCATCTTTGTTTTACCCAGAACCGAATCCGGAAAAAAGCGTTAAAATACCACCCGCGAATCACTTTGGCATCTGCTCAACAAAATAAACAAAAACAACTTTGTTCAACTTTCAGATGTATAAATATTGAGTACTGTACACAGACAAAACTCTTCAAATCTCCACTGAAACCAGAACTTGCTCGGTAGAGCTTGGACAAGCCGCCATTAGCTCCAATCTGCAGGCCATTACAATTTAAATATATGCTATTCACTGAATACTTAAGTGGCCTACATGTCTCCTTTTTGGTATGGTGGATTAGCAGTCCGGGGAGCATAGGCCTACACTATTTATTTCATCGTCTAGAATTTTTGATTTGTTACTTCATGTGTAACCTAGAAACTTGACATTAGTTTTGGCATTAAAGGTGAAAGTGAGGGTTTGGTAGAAACTAAATAAGACACAATCCTCCAATAGACAATTTTACAGTGGCCATTTTGCATCCCCTTTGTATGCGCTTACATCGTTCGTTTCATGAGATCGTGGACACTCTGAAAAAGTTAGTTATTTGAAATTTTGTATTTACAATTTCACAATCTGGGCTGCAAAATGTTGCAAGAAGCAATACATAAGAAATAAACTCCCTGTGTAGCAGTCTTCAGGAGGGTACAGTGGTTTTTGAGGAATGTCGTTTCTCTCTTTTTGTGTCAACTTTTTTTATTTGTTATACAGCACGTTTTGGTTTTTATAAAATATCTTCGAAAAAAAACAAACATTTTAAAAGGAGTTTTCAGCAAACTGTTCTCTGTCCTCATGTTATTGGATAGAAGTTACATCCACATCCTCTCGTAAATTAATCACAACATGTTTTTGGTTGTTGAACGTGTTGCACAGAGATACTCCAAAGTTATACAATTTTCTTCTATACACAGAATCAATCAATGTTTATTTATATAGCCCAATATCACAAATGTTACATTTGTCTCAGTGGACTTTACAGTTTGTACAAAATATCAGTATGACAATACGACACCCTCTGTCCTTAGACCCTCACATCGTACAAGGAAAAACTTCCGAAGAAAACCCACAGTTTAAAGAATCTTTTAGAAACTCTCAATATTTCTGGGGGAAACAAAGAGGTGCGAATGTGAGTTTATTTTCAAGGGCAAATTCAAATAAAGATATCACAGAAATATAACAGGTGTGAACATCTGAATAATTCTATAACAAATCATTGTGAAACCATAGGAATGTAGAACAGGGTGATAGATCGTTAAAGTACAAAAAGGTCTCTGGAAAAAATCTGTATATGCAAGAGTTGAAGTCTATAACTTACATGTATAGCTGCTTCAGAGTTAACACAGTACTGACTGGTGGCAGCAGTTTTAAGACAATAATGTATTTATATATTTACAAATCATTTTTCCTGTGCAAGTTTGAGGTGTTTTGTTACTTTGCACAGTCCCGTTGTGTCTTTACACCTGTATGCAAGAGGTCAGAGTTCAATGGACTTCTAGAAAAAGTGTCAAAAGTCACATTTTCACCTCTGCGTTTGCACCCCTGGGAATTTCTGACGTTAAAGACAGAGATTAGGTGTCTGATGTCAGCGTGTGTTTGGAGGACGGGCGGCCATGTTGGGATTTCCTCTCTCTGCTGGTTGGATGGTGATTTAAAAGTAATCCTCATTATCATCAACGGCTGCTCTAGGTTGTCTGCAGGGGAGATAAGGAAAATACATTATTACAGAAAGAAAATAAAAGAACAATTCATTTTTTTCTTTTGTAGGAAAGATTATTTTCTTATGTGCTGAGCAGCTGAAAGAGTGTAACTCCTGTTTTCCATCATAGTTACTGTTGCTTACTCGAACAATTGTTTTGCATAGCTAGTGTCCTAACACCTGCTTTGTATTTTTTATTGTGAGCGTAGCTACTTCATGACAGGTTGACATTTACATAGATAACTCTGTGCTGCCATTAGACCGTGACATTAAAAGAAGTAGTGGGGGCAGAAAAACTGTACGCTGTGTTTGTTGTATTTGCCTCGTCCAAAAGGTGTTTGTTGTCTTTGAACACACAAACATTGGAGGGGATATTACATTGTGGGATGATAGGCGACGCCACTGTCTATTTCACATGTGTCAACTCTCCAACTGCTTTTTTATTACATTCGCTCCAAAGATAAGCACATTCCTGCTACCTACCATTACTTATGTTTGTACTTTTACAATGCAATATCATGATATATCATGATTAATAAATACTGGAAAATAAATTGAGAAACTTCTAATGGATAAAATAAACAGGTAGCAGTGGCTTAAACCAGGCCTTTCACCACATTGATGCTAATAGATTTATAAAAACAATATATTTCCATAGCCTAGTTTTGAAAATTATTTGCAGCTTTTACAAGTTTGGACAGTTTTTTAAAATTATTTTAAAAAACTAAAACGTATTTGTACTATATTTTGTACCTGTGCACTCTGCCTCTGCATCTTCTGCATGGAGCAGGACGCCGGGTCTCTCTCCCCCGACCCTTCTCGTTCCGATTCACGCTCCCTCTTTCCTGTAATGCTTCCTCTGCTGTGCAGAAGTCCTGAATGTCACAACAGGCAAGACAAAAAAGGTTATTGTCAGAAACACTGTTTATGATTTATGTGTGATTACTAAGTAAGAAGTAAAGGTTATGTGATTACTCATCAGAGTAATATGTTGCCTAGGCATATGTGTATCTAGATACAAGCTTCTATAATTTTCTTCATAAGAAATGTATAGCAGAGCTATAGGCGCTAGCTGGCACCTAAAGAGTCGACTACTATAACTAGTACACGCTATACTGTAGGTGTACATGTTACAACTATCTGCCTTTACTTCAAAACCATGAGAGCACAATGTTAGAGAAACGTGCTTATCCATCTGCATCATTCCCGACGCTCTATGTGCTAATGTTTGACAAACATTAGCAATATAACCGATAAGGCAACACATTAATAATTGAATTGATTGCACAGTGGACAGCCTCAGTGACATTTTCAATAAAATACATTACAAATAAACCATGAATAAGGAAAATAAAGTTTCCAATTAGTTAGTGGTTTTTGATATATCTGTTTTCGGACTGTGCACAAAAGTGGCCTTATTCTCCTTTACAATAATTCACTACAGGTTTATAGTTGGATAGGCATCAATAGGTCAGTATTAATGCAATAATTAGGTGTACGTAGTGCTATTAATGGATTATTTCTATCACATGCTACAGCTGAACATCTAGCAGCACACCAGCGACAGTGGCACCAGCCCCTTCCTGTTTCCTACCTGGGTGTTGAGGCACGGCGAACTCGTGGTAGAGTCGGCTGCTGGCTTCTGGCACTGAGGGGTATCCTGCAACAGAAAACAGACATATTTAATTTTGTTATTAATGAGAGGGCTCATAAGTATCATATACTCAGAATATAACAATTTCACCTTTTCCAAAAATAACAAATATATGGCATATTTAAAGCTTACATTTTAAATGTGCCAAAGAACTTCCAAGACTAGTTTTTACTGTTTTCAATGTTGTATGAATGAAATCCAAGCCTTTACTGGTTGGTCAGGACATTAAAATGTGAGTGACATGTATGCAATGCACAGGATAGGAGAGGTAAGAGTTCACACAAGGATAATGAAAATAAAAATGTAACAGTATACATAAAAATATATGAGACCACAATACTGAGCAACAATGAGTTTGACAACTTTTAATACATTTTTAAGGGTGCGTTTTGGGCGATGCTACCGGAAAGTCTATATAATCGAAAGTGTTCATTCTCTGGGAAGGATGAATCTCAATGTCTCTCTGTCCATAACTTTCTGTCTTGTATTTAGAAATGGTTGGTAATATGCACGAAACAGACTAAACTAAACGTAAAATGGATCGCCCTACCATGCTGCTGTTGTTGTTGTTGTTGTTGTTGTTGTTGTCTGCTGCTAGGCCCCATTTCTTCTTCATTTTGAAAGTGCAGGATATTCCCGCTGCCGTTACTCGCTGCAACCGAACTCCCCGACACTCCAGGCACTGAGAAAAGAAAAACAAAGACAACAACATGAGACTGACTGATACGGGTGTAGGGCTGTGCAATTTAATCGATCCTGCGATATATATCGATATTTAGTTTTCCGAGAAAGTATCGATTATCGATTCAGCCGCGGGTATCGATACATTAAGTCTGATAACTGTGTTCGTTATTCTCGCGTCCAGGAGAGAAGCTTTAAAAAGGAGACTGATTGAGTCTCTGAGAAGGTTCAAATGTATACTTTAATTAATAAAAAGCGCGGTAATGTTACAAGCAGAAGATGGTTCAGTCAGAAAAACAGCTGTGTTCTGGCTCTCATGGGCGAAGGGAAGAGAGCGAGCTCCACCTTTCCAGCTGTTAAATATCCTCTGCTGGCTCCTCCCTGTGGGCCGGTTAGCGCTGCTGGGGGCCGGCCCTCCACGTCTCCAATGTTCGTTGTTGCGCATTACAGAGGATTCAGACATTGTACATTAAATATATAACTAAACACGCCTTTTCTCCTCCTTATCTCTTTCATGACTTTTCATTTAATACATTTTAAACGCTGTAATCAATACTCCAAAAATACTTCACGGCTGGTATCATTTCCGGTAGTTCCGGATGTTGTCTCATGCTACCCACATCTGTAAACAAACGTATTCAAATAAACTGTACCTTCATTTAATATTCAGCAATAATAATATCTCGACGTCTATAGTTGTAGTGTTGAAATCAGTAGGTTTCGGTGTGCAACACTCAGTGTCATATCGCTACTAAATTCACCTCTATAGTAAATGGTATATTAGCCACATGCTAAATGCTAACCGGAGATGAAGGATTTTCAGAATAAAAGCTTAACAACTGGTTGTGCACAAGAACTTCTGGTTTTTCAGTATAAAACAGCATTTAAACTGACGGTATGTTTAAGGTACTTTATGCCATCAAAACATTGATTTTAATTTCTAACAAGTCCCATTCAAATCCCCGTGTTCCGCCACCTGCTGCACCTTTTAATTCTCCATTGTCCATTGTGATACTGCACTTTATGTACTTACGTTTCAAAGGCTTGTAAGCTACAGTTTGCACTGTTTCAATAAATGAAACACATTTTCTCACCACATCTTTTGATTAATTTTGTCCAGCATTTGCAAGCTGTCGACTCTCTGTCAGAGCCATATATTGTATAATTGATGCTTTCAGTTTTCAGTTGAATTAATTCAATCCAAGTCAATGGAACACTCACAAGATGTCACCAAAATCACACTGTCCCTTTAAAATCTTTCAGAAAATGATATAAGTGTATCGAATTATATCGAATTGTATCGAATCGTATCGTTGGCTGAATATCGTGATATATATCGTATTGTGAGCTGAATATCGTGTATCGTATCGTGAGATTAGTGTATCGCTACAGCCCTATACGGGTGTAGCACGCCATTTCTACAATAGCATCAACGATAAGGGCAAGAGAAACGCTGACACATCTTTATTAATATTACATTCAAACAGATGACATTATGAAGACTATCCTGGCCATCAACTTGAATCTAACTTTAAATTTCACTGTATTTTTAAGTTTTTAGTTTCTATAATTACTTGAGCTGTTTTTTAAATGTTTCTTATTTCTTATAATTTATTTTATTCTATACATAATAAACAACTGCTTTTGGACTCAAGGCATACCATAGGGCATTTTCCTTTTTTCGTTATATTTATACTGAATACAACATTTATTTTTATTTTTAACAAGGTACAATCATAGACGATAAATAAATAGTTAAAATTTAATTAAATTCACTTACAATGTGAATTGTTGTTGTTGGTCCCTGGCTGCTGCTCTCCGAGGGGGTAGGCCATCATTCCTCCATTCCCGTTCCCATTGGAGGACGGGACTGATGCCAGCAGGCCTGAAAGAAACAAAACAAACAAACACATATTTATTTTGTGAAAGGAGAGGACATTTTTCTTGACAGTACAGACGACGTAACTGTCTCCATTTGAATACAATGTTGCCAGCCTCGGCCTTCCTTTGTGTGGAGCAAGAAGATGAGCCTGCATTTTTTGAGTGCAGTAAAAATGTTTTTTTTAAGGCTCAACACCAAAAACTATAGATTTTAATTTCTTTGGCCTTCGATACGCTCTTAAATTATGCACAAGTTGGAAAGAATTCTACACAGTCACTACTGGAATGTTAAAAAAATATAATATGTATAATATAAGTGTAGCCTTATCTTTATCTGCAACGCACAGAGAAATCACTGATGCCTTTAAATGTACGCCTCGAATGTTCACATTATAAGTGAGGATTCAAAGCTTCAAACTCTTTGGTACCATGCAGATTTGTTACTTCTCTTACCCAGTCCTCTGTATCGGCTCAGCTGCTGGTAGATCTGCTTCATCCTCTCGATGTTGAGTCGGCTCGCCTCTGCGTGATGCACCATGGCTTTGGGGTAATGGACGCCGATGATGCACTTGGCCGCGGCCTGCACGGACTCCGGAGCGTTCCACGGGTCGTAGATGTACTTTGCAGGGAAACCTCGGAGGACAGGTAAGTATCGTCTGGAAGCACAGGGAGACATTAGATTTGCAGGCTTGTGTCAAGGTTGTGGAAGGTTACAGAGTTAACAGAGGCAGGATTAATGCAGAAATACAAGATCTCATACTTTAAAATGATAGGAAAAGTATTTGAAAGCAGTTGCAATAACATTATTTATGTGTTTTTACTATTTCAAATGTTAGTTTGTGAGGTTTTATTGTGAAACATTGAATATGCAGTACAATTGTTTTGTTAGCGTCCTCATGCATGTAAATGTCTTACATTAACATAATACGTATGTGTTGTGACAGGGAGGCTGTGGCTCAGTGGATAGCAAGTTCGAGTCCCACTGCAGTCAGCATGTCGTTGTGTCCCTGCCTGGGCAAGACACTTTACCCCAAATTGCTCCTGTGGGGATTGTCCACAGTACTGAATGTATGTAAGTCACTTTGGATAAAAGCGTCTAACAAATTACATTACATTACATTGCATTTAGCTGACGCTTTTATCCAAAGCGACTTACAATAAGTACATTCGACCAGGAAGACACAACCTTGAAGAAAACAGAATCATATAAGTACATCAGGTTTCATAGAGCCAAACATTTCAAGTGCTACTCAACTGGCTTTAGATAAGCCAGTCCTTTATTAGTATAAAAGTGCTTCGTTAATAGTTCTAACGCTCGAAGTGGAGTCGAAAGAGATGAGTTTTCAGTTTGCGGCGGAAGATGTGCAAGCTATCTGCTGTCCTGATGTCAATGGGGAGCTCATTCCACCATCTTGGAGCCAGGACAGCAAACCCACGTGTTTTCGCCAATGGGAACTTGGGTCCCCCTCACAGCGAGGGCGCAACGAGTCGTTTGGCTGATGCAGAGCGTAGTGCACGCGCTGGGGTGTACGGTTTAACCATGTCCTGGATGTAGGAAGGGCCAGATCCATTCGCAGCATGGTAAGCAAGTACCAGTGTCTTGAAGTGGATTCTAGCAGTTACCGGAAGCCAGTGAAGGGAGCGGAGGAGCGGAGTGGTGTGGGAGAATTTAGGAAGGTTGAAGACCAGACGAGCCGCTGCATTCTGGATGAGCTGCAGAGGTGGGATGGCACATGCAGGTAGACCAGCCAGGAGGGAGTTGCAGTAGTCTAGGCGTGAGATGACGAGAGCCTGGACCAGAACCTGAGTCGCTTTCTGAGTCAGCTGGGGACGTATCTTCCTGATGTTGTAAAGCGTGTATCTGCAGCAACGGGTTGTAGCAGCGATGTTTGCAGTGAAGGACAGGTTGTTATCTAGGGTCACACCCAGATTCCTTGCAGTCTGAGTCGGGGAAACAACTGAGGTGCCGATGTTGATTGTTAGGTCAAGAGTGGGACAATCTTTTCCCGGGAGGAAGAGCAGCTCAGTCTTGTCAAGGTTGAGCTTGAGGTGATGAGCAGACATCCACTGAGAGATGTCAGCTAGACAAGCAGAGATGCGTGCGACGACCTGGGTCTCTGAGCGGGGAAAGGACAGAATTAATTGGGTGTCGTCAGCGTAGCAGTGGTAAGAAAAACCATGCGGGCTAATGACTGATCCGAGCGAATGACATGTAATGTAAAATGTAATGACTGATAAGAGCTTGATGGTCATCACCACGTCATGCTTACAGGTGTTATGGAAAATGGCTGCTACAAAGTGAAAGCTACAAACAACCACAGCACTCAGTCACAATATGGCTGCAGTGCATTAGAGTGAGTTGTATCGCAGTGCACAATGAGGACAATGTAGAAAAAAGGAGGGGGGCTGTTGTCACGGACAAAATGTACTGTAAGTTGGTGTGATAACAGCCACACTACAGGCACAAAGTGTAAACCTCTGAGAGATAAAGCCGATAAAACAAGGGCTGCAACAAGATAGAGAGGTCAACATCTATCAGAATCAGAATACCTTTATTAGTCCCACAGAGTCTACCGTTTCAAACTGATGACGTTTTTTCCTCCCTTGGACAGTCATGGATTTGCTCCATGTGACAAATAGAGGCCATCTACCTATTGCACCAGGTCCGACCTTACCAAGCCCAAGGATCTCTAGAGAGAGATCACTGCTGGTTGAACAATGATGCTAGGAGACGTCTACTGTGACACACGGTTAGAAAGCAGTGTGTTTGAGTGTGTATGAGCTATGTGTGTGCGTGTGCGTGTGTGTGTGTGTGTGTGTGTGTGTGTGTGTGTGTTCTTTGTCTATACAATAATGTGAAGGCTCCTTCTCTCTGTGCCTATGTTTCCCTGTCTGCATGTAGTCCAGAGACACAGAGGGAAGAATGTTGCCATCCAGGTAGGGGGGTCAGCATTAAGATGCCATATCAATAAAAAGGTACCCACTTAATGAAGTCCCCGTTGGGGTCGGTCCGACGGCCGAAGCCCACGGGGCAGTAGCAATGGAAAAACTGCTGGAAAAATGAACTGCAGGACAGCCACATCCAGCTGCCTGCGTTCACGCTCCAGTCTGCGTCGAGGAGAAGCTCCTCAAACACCTGCGACACAAAGACAACGGGCTCAGTATCATGGCTTTCAAATGCTTAACAACATCCTGCCACTAACTCTTTTATGTCTTCAAGTCAGGCTTTTGTCTTACAGTGCTGCAACTACTTTTGTTAAAGGGGCCCTATTATGCTCATTTTCAGATTCATATTTGTATTTTGTGCCGAAATGTGCTATGTAAATAAACTTGCATTGACATTGATATTCTGGAGGCCACAGTTGTCTAGGCTTTTGATGAAAATATCTGCTTCATTTGGAATTTAAAAAACAAACTGACGGGCATACAGTATATGGGCATCTACTAATTGATACGATATGTGTTTTCACCTAAATTAAGACCCCGTTTACATGGAGACGGTTTGTGTTGTATCTGCTACTTTTCTCTTTCGTATAGCCCGTTCGTTCTCACGAGGCCGTAACGGAACCGCGGAAACGGACCCCTCAAACGATAGCGGGTCCCAAGGTGGGTAGATCTGCGGACGAAACGCTCTGGGGGGCCAAACGGCTCAGTGTGTACGTCCTATACGATAATTTCCTGATAACGATGAAGCCATAGCCCCGCCTCTCCCCACCTCTGCTGCTCACAGCTGTAGCATGGTCAGTAGCTACTGACTATGCTACAGATGTTAGTGCAAAATCTAAAGCTCCTCTACCACAACCATCAGCAACAAGTGGACATGGAGAACTACATGAACTACATGTTGCTAAATCCACCGCGGAGCATAAACAGAAGGGCAACCAGGCAACCATGCTCGGGGGTCTTCTTCGCTATTTTGTGGCGGAAGTACAGCGCCACTTACAGGCACGGCATATGTATCCTGCATAAACATGTCAGCCTCCTCACCTTCATCCCCTCCTCCCAGCTGATCCACAGGTCGCCCCTCGTGAGGAAGCAGGCCACAGCGTGCCGGGCCAGGTGATGGATCCAGCCCTCCTGACGCAGCTGAGTCATGATAGCGTCGATCCAGGGAAATCCTGTCTTAGCTTCCGCCCATTTGGCAAGTGCTTCAGGATTTTTGTCCCACGGGATACGCATGCAGATCGGGTTTCCCTCCATCTTGTCGAAGCGTGGGTTGTTGGTTGCTGTGGTGTAGAAGAACTCTCGCCACAGTAGCTGGCCGTACAGGGAGAGTGGAGGGGAGCTGTTCTTTTTCACCTGGAGAAAAATAAACACGGCAAGAAAACATTAAGTACACAATGTCAAGGTGAAAAGATAATCACAACCGAATTTTTGTTGTTGTTCTAAGACAGGTGTGTAGGATTGTGACAACAGTGCGCGGAAGCTTTTTTTTGCAACTTTTGGTAAGAAAATCTGAAAAATAGATATACAAGCATGCTGGCTTAGCTGTGAGATGTCTTTTAGAGCTAAATTGAAGTAGCACTAGTCTCTAAATCTTACATTTTGGCACTCATATCATTAGATTTTTGGTCGAGCTTCAACGACTTGATGTCTGGGGAATTCTAACCTCCATAATTTCTTCTCATTGTGCTTTATTCTACACCTACACTGTGACACATATGTATCGATACCTAGAAAGCATGCGCAAAACATGGGTGTCGCTGATTTGCTTTGGGTATTTTACATACTGCCTATAGGAGTTGATATGAAACAGCACAAGTCAACATGTATATTAGACTGGAGGAGTTGGGATCTGACCTTGCGGTAGAGGTCAGTGAACTTGAAGTAGAACAGGCGGCAGGAGAGGCAGCCGAAGCGCAGGTATGGGCTGAGGCCAGTCAGGCTGGCGAGCAACGAGTTGGCGTTCATTCGGGGACGCTCGAAGTTAGCCACCCACGCCTGGAAAAAAAATACGGAGAGAAATACAGGAGGTCAGGGAGAGAGGTAGGGAGTGATGAGAGGTACTAGTTAAGGCAGGGCACTGTTATAAAAAGGTCATAATTTGAAAGAAATTACTATAGTACCTTAGTATACAATTACTTGGTGTGCTTTGGTGTGTTATTGTACATAAACACAGTAAAATAAATTAAGATGTAAAATAAGAACAAATACAAACATTTAAAAAAAAAAACTATTATAAAATAAGAAAAACAAGTACAAATTTAACAAATTACTGATACATTACATTACATTGCATTTAGCTGACGCTTTTATCCAAAGCGACTTACAATAAGTACATTCGACCAGGAAGACACAACCTTGAAGAAAACAGAATCATATAAGTACATCAGGTTTCATAGAGCCAAAACATTTCAAGTGCTACTCAACTGGCTTTAGATAAGCCAGTCCTTTATTAGTATATAAGTGCTTTGTTAATAATTCTATCGCTCGAAGTGGAGTCGAAAGAGATGAGTTTTCAGTCTGCGCCGGAAGATGTGCAAGCTATCTGCTGTCCTGATGTCAATGGGGAGCTCATTCCACCATCTTGGTGCCAGGATAGCAAACCCACGTGTTTTTGCTGATGGGAACTTGGGTCCCCCTCGCAGCGAGGGCGCAACGAGTCGTTTGGCTGCCGCAGAGCGTAGTGCACGCGCTGGGGTGTACGGTTTAACCATGTCCTGGATGTACGAAGGGCCAGATCCATTCGCAGCATGGTAAGCAAGTACCAGTGTCTTGAAGTGGATTCTAGCAGTTACCGGAAGCCAGTGAAGGGAGCGGAGGAGCGGAGTGGTGTGGTGAACATTTAGGAAGGTTGAAGATCAGACGAGCCGCTGCATTCTGGATGAGCTGCAGAGGTCGGATGGCACATGCAGGTAGACCAGCCAGGAGGGAGTTGCAGTAGTCTAGGCGTGAGATGACGAGAGCCTGGACCAGAACCTGCGTCGCTTTCTGTGTCAGCTGGGGACGTATCTTCCTGATGTTGTAAAGCGTGTATCTGCAGCAACGGGTTGTAGCAGCTATGTTTGCAGTGAAGGACAGGTTGTTATCTAGGGTCACACCCAGATTCCTTGCAGTCTGAGTCGGGGAAACAACTGCGGTGCCGATGTTGATTGTTAGGTCAAGAGTGGGACAATCTTTTCCCGGAAGGAAGAGCAGCTCAGTCTTGTCAAGGTTGAGCTTGAGGTGATGAGCAGACATCCACTGAGAGATGTCAGCTAGACAAGCAGAGATGCGTGCGACGACCTGGGTCTCTGAGCGGGGAAAGGACAGAATGAATTGGGTGTCGTCAGCGTAGCAGTGGTATGAAAAACCATGCGGGCTAATGACTGATCCGAGCGAGTTTGTGTACAGGGAGAAGAGGAGGGGACCAAGAACAGAGCCCTGAGGGACCCCTGTAGTTAATTGACAAGGGTCGGACTCAGACCCTCTCCAAGTCACCCTGTAGGTACGGTCTTTCAGATATGAGGTGAGGAGGGAAAGTGCAGAGCCTGAAACTCCAAGTTTTTGGAGAGTGCGAAGGAGGATCTGATGATTCACCGTGTCGAATGCAGCAGACAGGTCCAATAGGATGATGACAGAGGAGAGGGATGCAGTTTTGGCAGTGTGCAGTTCCTCCGTGACAGCAATGAGAGCAGTTTCTGTGGAGTGACCTGCCTTGAAACCAGACTGGTGCGGATCCAGAAGTTGGTTCTGATTGAGATAACAGGAGAGTTGTTTAAAGACAGCGCGTTCAAGTGATTTAGACAGGAACGGGAGGAGAGAGACAGGCCTGTAGTTTATAACATCAGACGGGTTGAGAGTGGGTTTCTTTAGGAGAGGGTTTACTCTTGCCTCCTTGAGACTGTTTGGAAAGTGACCAGAAGTTAGAGAAGTGTTGATGAAATGGGTGAGAAACGGTAGAATATCAGGAGCGATAGTCTGAAGGAGGTTTGAAGGGATAGGGTCCAGAGGACAGGTGGTAGGGGCGGGCAGAGGTAATGAGGGTAAGAACCTCACTTGGAGAGAGAGGGGAAAAGGAGGTTAGTGTGTTGGTGGAAGGAAGGTCTGGTGACCCAGCGGTGAGTAAAGGTGAGTCAGAAAAAGAAGAGCGAATATCATCAACCTTTTTTTCAAAGTGGGTAACAAAGTCGCTTGACAGAAGTGAGGAGGGGGGAGGGGCTTTTGGAGGGTCCAAGAGGGTGGAGAAGATGGAAAATAGTTTTTTAAGGATTGGAATAGGAAGATTGGATCTTATCTTGAAAGAAAGTGCTTTTTGCCTGAGAGATCGAAGCAGAGAAAGACGAGAGGAGAGCCTGATAGGTTAGGAGGTCGTCACGGTGTTTGGATTTCCACCGTTTCCGCTCTGCTACCCTAAGGACGGTTCTATTAGCACGCAGCGCATCATTTTGCCAGGAAGCAGGAGGGGACGCGTCTATCGTTATTCCAACCCAGTTTAGATTTTGCTTCCGCATTACGCAAGAACGTAGCTCTACGCGATAGCGTCATAGCCTTCTTCTTCGGCTGTTATTCTTCGGCTGTTATAGCGGTCGCAGCAGGATGAATAGTTGTTTTTTGTCTTTCCAAAGGATTTGTTGACTGAAAGTAAACGATCCTGTTTGTTTGTTGACTGAAAGTAAACGATCCTGTAATCAAAGCCATATCGAAGATTCCTGAGATTGTATTACTGGTGTTTTATCATCTATAAATAGCCTGTGTGTATTCTCAAATGTCGTTTTCAGGACAAACAAAAGACGTTTTAAATATCTTATCTTATCAGCAGAATATTGAATATAACCTTGACTATTACTGTGCACTTCATTTATTTGACAGCATTATTTAATGATACTATTTTATATATATATATTTAATGATACTATTTTATATATACATTTATTCATATACACACACACTTATATGTACTCACACATGTATTTATTCATAAATATACACAGATGTATTCATTCATTTATACACACACAGCATTATTTAATGATACTGTTTTATATATGGATACGTGGATTCATATTCCTATTATACACACATGCATTTCCAAACATTTGGACTACCTATGTTGCAAATGTATTATCTTTTCAATTTACACACGGCATCTATTGCACGTCTGTCCGTCCTGGGAGAGGGATCCCTCCTCTGTTGCTCTCCCTGAGGTTTCTCCCATTTTTCCCTTTAAACTGTGGGTTTTCTTCGGAAGTTTTTCCTTGTACGATGTGAGGGTCTAAGGACAGACGGTGTCGTATTGTCATACTGATATTTTGTACAAACTGTAAAGTCCACTGAGACAAATGTAACATTTGTGATATTGGGCTATATAAATAAACATTGATTGATTGATTGATTGATATATATATACACACATTTATAAACATATAAACACACACTTATATGTACTCACACATGTATACACACAGATGTATTTCTACACTCTGGTACTTGTACCTTTACTCAAGTACAGTACAAGATCTTATCACTTCTTACACCTCTGGAAAGCACTTTTATGTAAAGGAATACATTTTTATAAATGTCCCAACATTTCATTTTTATATTTTACAAACGTTTATATGTTATTAATGTCAAATGTTATATGTTATATTATATAACAAAATAGACATTAAATAAAATATTAAATAGATACCTTTACATCCTAAACAGAAGGTCAAAACGTTAATATGTTACATGACAAACATTATATAGGCTATATATACAGATGTTTGCTAATGTATCCCTCTTATATTCATCAGGAATTAATATTAAATGATGAATTAACATTACCTCAGCACTGCATAAGTGTGGTCGTCAGTCATATTGACAAAGAAGCACTATTTTATTATTATAATTATAATTATGGGCGTTTAAAAGGACGGTATTTCGCTTGTCAGATTCATATTTGCCGCCCATAGAGATGTAACGCCAGGTTGCTATAACAGCCGAAGAAGAAGGCTATGACGCTAACGCGTAGAGCTATGTTCTTGCGTAATGCGGAAGCAAAATCTAAACTGGGTTGGAATAACGATAGACGCGGAGGGGACTGACGAGCCTGCCAAGATGTGAGAGGACAGAGAGAGTCCAGAGTGGATGAGAGAGTAGAGAGGAGAGTTTCTGCAGCAGAGTTTGAAGGCAGGAGTTGGAACGAGTCAGAGGAAGGGAGGGCTGAGAGCACCGATGAGGCAAAGGTAGAGGGGGAGAGGGAACGAAGGTTACGGCGGACAAGTGCAGGATGAGAAGAGATTAGTTTGTTATGTTTGGAAAGGGGTAGAGAGAATGAAATGAAGAAGTGATCGGATGTGTGGAGCGGGTTTACAGAGAAGTTAGAAGTAGCGCAGTTCCTTGAGAATATGTGAGAAAGCAAAGGCGGTTAACAGGGATGTTAGTTCGTCTATCTTCCCTGTCTGGAGGTTGAAGTCTCCGAGAAGTACAGCGGGAGGGCCAGTTTCAGGGATGTGTGAGAGGAGATTATCTAATTCCTCCAAGAAGTCCCCCAAGGCGCCTGGTGGACGGTAGAGAACAACAATGGTTAACTGTATAGGATGGGTTACTGTGACGGCATGGAATTCAAAGGTGGAAGGAGTGAAGTTAGGTAGCTTGAAGAGGGAAAAGCTCCATTTGGGAGAGAGCAGGAGACCAGTGCCACCTCCTCTGCCAGTTGGTCTGGGTGTATGGGAGAAGGAATATGCAGTGGAGAGAGCTGCTGGGGTGGATGTGTTGGATGGAGTAATCCAGGTCTCAGTGAGAGCAAGGAAATCCAGAGACTGCAGGGAGGCGTAGCCAGAGATGAAGTCAGCCTTAGGAACAGCTGACTGGCAATTCCACAGGCCACCTGAAACTAGATGTTGGATCTCAGTGGAGCATGTGGGATAGATGAGAGCAGGCCGGTTATAGCGATTAGGAGATACACGGGGCCAATGATAATTGCGAGAAGACACATGAACAGGAATGGAGAAAATACACATGATTATAGCATGAGGGGCTAAACAACTAAAGAAAAGAGAAATAAGACACCAGCTCAATCAGAGTAGGATTTACCTCCTCTTTGCCTCCCTCGTGACTCCCGCAGGACTCTAATGTCTTTGTCAGTCTTTGACTCCCGCAGGACTCTAATGTCTTTGTCAGTCTTTGACTCCCGCAGGACTCTAATGTCTTTGTCAGTCTTTGACTCCCGCAGGACTCTAATGTCTTTGTCAGTCTTCGGCTGTCTGACGCTTTAGCTGACGCTCCAGGAAAGAGCTACCTAAAATGGATGCCTGATTGCTGAGTTCTCACAGCTGTAGGGCCACGCCCCTCTAATTAGTTAACTATCTATAGCTGATGGGCGACAATAGACTGGCCCTGCCTATATTGTAATGCAGGATTGAGAGCTGAGACCTGTGAAGCAGGTTTTGCCTGAGCAGATCTGAGATTTAAAATCTCTCAAAAGCGATTTAGCCGTTTTAGCTACAATAACTAGAACAATTATACAGAGTAGAATAAATGAAACAGAGAAGTCTAATTAAACAAGAATATAACTTACAGTGGTTGCTGCGTCAATAGGTAATGTCGTCACCCGGTCCAGATGTACACTGAGTTCATCAGATTTTAAATGCGGTATTTAAATGCTTTTTTAGGTGAAAGATGAGTCACGCTGTTGTACTTCACGCAATCAATAGACTGGCCCTGCCTATATTGTAATGCAGGATTGAGAGCTGAGACCTGTGAAGCAGGTTTTCGCCTGAGCAGATCTGAGATTTAAAATCTCTCAAAAGCGATTTAGCCGTTTTAGCTACAATAACTAGAACAATTATACAGAGTAGAATAAATGAAACAGAGAAGTCTAATTAAACAAGAATATAACTTACAGTGGTTGCTGCGTCAATAGGTAATGTCGTCACCCGGTCCAGATATATTCAACATTTAAAGTGGAATAGCTAAGCTGTTTTAAAGTGTTATTATAATGCAGAAATGTTCAAAATAGTGTAACACATTTGCAAAAGTTGACATTACAGATTCAAATGTTGTCTATGAGGAAAGTGCTTAAATAAGTGTGTTACTAGAAGCAGGTGGTGCAGTACCGACCTTTCTCTCCAGATGGCGCTCTATCCTCGTCAGAGCCTCGGTCTCTCCTCCGGGCCAGACGCCTGTAGGCAGGCCCTCTGTGTCAAAGCCTGAAAACAATCATGGGGATTACCTTCCTGCTTTAAAGTGTTGCACTCACATGCTGGATGAGTCCACAATCCTTCAGTTATGTCATGTTCCCTCAAATAACAACATGTAGTTTCATCCAGCAGATACAAATCCATACAAAGCATCATTATTGTTGGCCTTGACAACTGTTTGGATAATAGAACATGTTGATCTGTTTTGCTTATATCCAATCTATGAATATAAATCTTATAAACAAAACGTTACTGTGTTGTTGTCCTTGTATGTAGTTGTGTGTTGTGTACTGTACAACCGCTTTGTCATTTCCTTCAATTTGTGTATAAAAAAGTCAGTAAACAAAGACAAAAAAACTTGTTCCACACTTACTATGTACACATTAACACATTTAAGATAAAAACAACTCTGCAAAGAGGGTTTTAGAATATTGTAATATCATATATATTTTTTTAATGATAGTCCTGGTGTGTACGTTTGTTTCCTCACCTAGCTCCTCCAGGGACGGGACCCCGTACTCTTCTCCGTGGTCCTCAGAGACGGGGGTGACGCAGCGACCCATAAGGGCGTCTGACAGCGTCTCCACGGGCATCTCAGGAGGATCCATTCGACTGATCAGAGTCTGGAAACGCTTGTAGGTGAGAGGAGGCTGTCCGCGATTCAGCTCTATGATCCTGGGGAGGGATGGAGACAAGGAGCGATCAAGTTTTAATCTTAAATCAAATTTCCAACAGATATTAAAATATTACGAAAGGGAAGTCAACATTTATTTAGCAAAATACTTAAAAGTAAAGCTTATTTTGTTTTAATGAAGTACTGCTTGTAGTCTATTATCTAGTTATATTAGTACAGCAAAGGAATAAATATATATATTTTGAGATTCAAAAATAAATGATATATTTTTAACTAACTAGCTTCTAATTACCTTAAAAGGTTTATTCACTTTAGTATGTTCCTATCAATGCCTTGCCTTTACATTCTTCAATTTTTTAATGGAAATAAAAAATACATTTCCATAAACGAAATATTTACATTTATAGAAAAAAATATAATGTATTTATTATTTAAACCTTCAGATACGATGAGCCATCTAGCTTCACAACAATTTACTCACTAAAATAATCCATGTATATTTTAAAATGGTGTATTAGTATTTATCTCACTTGTCTAGATCGTAGAGGGTGTGTGACGTCTTGACGATGACCTCCACCCCGGCCTCCATGGCCAGCTTCTTGATGGCAGCGTCTCTCTCCTTCCCAAACGGCTCCGTATCGTACTCAAAGGTCAGGCGAGAGATCTTCCACTCCTACGACAGGACAGGGAGATATCACAGTTTGCTCAGCAGGCACAAAGTGACGTCTTCAAATGTTGTTTTAATTAACAGACAGACTCAGCATATTCTATTGTCAATATTTATACTTCTTAAACAACTTTGTTTAAATGAGATTATCAGAGCACGTGCTGATTTTCTGTTATTGCTGACCTTAAAGAGCCGTGGGAACACGTTGGCTGGTTGGCCTCTGATGACAAAGAGGCGAGAGTTGAGCTTCCTAAGGTTGGCATCAAGATCCTCCAAACACTGAAGGAGAAACCTGAAGAAGAAGAGGACAACAAATTAATTACTGATCATCTGATTATACCCTGGAGTCATGAGGCAAACAGAAATGTGTCTTTGATAGAAGAAATGGGTCCACCAGCAGAGATTCCGCAATACCACTTCAATGGCTGTAGCTTTTCTCATATAATAGTATAATAAATGACAATACAGTAATTTAATTTACTGTGATGACTGTAATGTACCATAACTGTGAAATAAATAAACATATACTGCGATATAAGACTTCAGCCATAACGCCCACCTGTGCTACATTTTCGTTAAGCCCAACAAAAAAAAGTACTATTTACTTTCTTTCTAGGTCACTAGGTTTGATAAAAAAATTAAAATGTGTGTGCTGAGGGACTCAGAAGAAATGTGTGTGTTTGGGGCTTTATGACGCAGTCGACCACCATGCAAGAACACATCTCCCTCACTGTCAGACTCACAGCTTTAATGGATTCACATAGATTAGAAAAAAATAACATGGTAGCTCCCTTTGTGCCTCCATCCCTGAGGAAAAGAGAATAAAGCCAGCCTATTATTTGATGTGCCATCTATGATTACTCTAGGATGCATTTAACCTTTTTATGTGAACTGTACATTAGCATCTCCATTATTGCAAACCCTGACAATGTGA